AGAAATAGGAGAAGAAGAAGAAGAAGAAGAAAAGAAAGAAGGAGAAGAAGAAGAAGAAAGAGAGAGGTGCTTCCGGCGACGAGCGGCGCCGGCAACGGAGCAGGACCGGCGGCAAGCGGCGCCGGCGACGGAGTAGAGCGATCAGGGAGGTTTCGCGGATCCGGAGGAGGGGTGCGAGTGGTTTTCCGTGAGGAGATGCCTTTTTGGCGAAAAAGATGGAGAGAGCCCCTTTCTTTCTTGCGAACGGGAGTTTTGGAGAACGAGAGAGACGCGATCTTGGGGAAGAGAGACGTTGCTTCTCAGCCATTTTTTTACCGTTTCTTTTTTTTTTTAAGAGAGAGAATAGAGGAGAGAGGGAGGAGAGAAGAGAGGGAAATGAAAAATGAAAATTTCATTTCCCTCTTTTAGAGAGTTACGGTTATATATATATATAATATTATTATAATATAATAATTATTATTATTATTCAATCAACCCTCCGTGCATTTTCGCTGAACACGTCATCGCGATAAAATGAAAGTGTCCCTTAGCTAAAATTTATGTTCTGGACGCACCGGTGTAGTCCGTTTGGTCGTCCGGAGTCGTTCGGACCACTTTTTAGACTATCGTGTCAAAAAAATGATAATATGCATATTTTAAGCCCGTACGCGAAATTGTGGTGCAACGAGTGTCTTTTCCAAGTGAAATCGAAGTTCCCAACTCACTCGTGTTGTCCATTTCGTCGTTTGGGGCCATATGAACAAGCTTGCAGGTGCTCTGGTCAATTTGAACCAAATTTGTGCATGGCGCGATAACTAATTTTTGTCGATCACAGGTGGACATCCTACACCTATGATATCCAAAAAAATTGATGCCAACAAAGGACCCCCAACAAGCGTGCTGCGCCACTGAGGCACAGTGCACTTGTTGGCAGCATCCTCCAAAGAAAACCTCTCATGGTAGTCGAGGTGACATCCTAAAAGAATGTTAAAAGAAAACCTCAACCAAACCAGGTAAACTGGATAAGGTATGGTCAAGGGTGTGACTAGCCAGTAGAAACCTGACCAACCACATAAATGGGTTCAGAGGCCGTAAATGCATAGCCTATAAAATAGGTTCAGAGGCCATAAAGGCATAACCTAAAATGATGGTTCAGAGGCCATAAAGGCATGACATAATGGATCCCAGCCAGGCCAGATAAACTGGACATGTTATGGCTGAGGGAAAGTTTGTCTGACCATATTCGAAACGGCACATCGATTTGTCTGACCACATTCGAAACAACAGAATCGATGGAAACCCCGTACCTGACCTCATTCGAAATAGTAGGGGAGAATGCTCAATCATCTCGTGTGACCAAGCCTCCTGTTATGTTTCCCCTGAAAGAGACCCCGATTGCGAGTCTAACTGATCTCCTTGAGACGAAACATCCATCACATTAATCAGGTGGCTATAAAGCACAATATATCCTGATCAGAGGTGGTGATCGAACCAGTGACTAAATAGTATGGCCGACCGAAAAGGATGGTTCAGAGGCCCTGAAGGCATAACCAAAAAGGTGGGTTCAGAAGATGGAATACTTTTGTAAATGAATCAACTCGAAAGGGCATGTGGTTCGGGATATATCAAAGTATAAGGCTGTCATAAGTCTCCCTAAAAGGTCCCTTTGGCCTAGCAAAGCAGCTGTCTCTCGGGATAGCTCAACAGATAATTCCTGCAAGAACTGGCTAAGGCAATTCTCATCGGGGCAAATATCCGGGCAAATGTCAGGCGTTAAAAGTGGCTCTGACGAAGGACATGGATCAGACAGATAATAGACAAATTCTAGAACCGATACGACATGTCGCTCTGACAAGGCAATGAAAATTGACCGGTTCAGTGTTATCAAAGACGGTGGATGAATAGAGCATACCAACCTTTTACGTGATACTGTTACCAGAGATTTGGTAGAATTAATTTTGCTAATTAATTTTGCTGAGGTAGAATTAATTTTGCTGAGGAATTGCTGCAGTATCCCAGCGTGGTTGGTTAAAACATAACTTTCCAACCACAAGGGTATGTTGCCCTCAAGCTAACTCAAAAGAAATCCCTCAAAGAGAAAAACACCACATTCATTTGAAGTGAGTGGGAAACTCTAGTTCGGACCCACTCGGGGTGCTCAACCAAATAGAGGTGGCGAGGAATGGAACATAGCTTCCTGCACAAGAAGGTATCAATCAAACTTGACCTCAGACAATTGAGACACCTGAGAAAGGTTGGACAAAATAAAGTTTACCAACCAGATAGTGTTTAACCATAAGGAAAAAACTAAAACATATCCCATAAGAGGGAATACACCACACTCATTTGAAGTGAGCTGGACGAGCATATCCGTAGAAAGGTGTTGGGTTTGGACCCTATGTAGAATGGGTATCCAAACAAGAATGCTAGGAAAGGGAATGGCTTTCTTGTATTAAGCAAATATCAACCAAAATTGACTTCCATTAATTGAGATATTGTAAAAGGTTGGCTAGGTAATATATCCTAACCATGAAATGCTTAGTTATAAAGCTAAGCTCTAATCCTCTAAAAGAAGACATCTTCCACTCTCATTTATGATGAGCGGGGAAAAGTGTATCTACCATACTCATTTATAATGGGTGGGACACACTTATTTGGATCCTCTCAAATCGAGGGATCGAAGAGGAAGAGGATAAGAGAAGTACTGTTTCTCTTACACTGATCGCTGGTTGCGCCAGGTATAAGCCGCCCGTAGGACTTCCACTTTGCCTGTCTAGCAATTCAGAAATCGGTTGTAAGAGATGCACAAGACCTCTCTTATGTGCAATGAAGCATAGAAAAGTGGGTGTACGGTATATCGTACAACATGCCCACAAAGAAGGCTAGTTAACTTTGAAAGGAAGGACTACCTGGATCTTAGGGTCGACGCATAAAGCGTAAAGGTGGTGGGCAGAGTGCAGCACCAAAGGTAAGGCAGCTCTTGAAAGAAACACGCTATGACCTGAGGGTCGACGCATCAAGCGTAAAGATGGTGAGTAGAATGCCACACCACAGATAAATATCAATTGAGATAAACTTTTGTCAACCTAGGCATTGCAAGAATTAGTTGGGCAATATACATTACCCAAAGAAATACTTAGTCGTCGGACCGAGCTAAAATCTTATAAAGAGAAGGCAGCCTCCATATCCATTTATGAGAATAGGACAAGGATCTCTACCACGCTCATTTATAGTAAGTAGGAAAGGCTCATTCGAGCCTGCTCGAAGTGAGGCATCAAACAAAAAGACAAGAGAAGTGTTTGGCTTCTCTCATACCGATTACCGATTGCACCAGGTATAAGCCGCCCGTAGGACTTCCACTTTGCCTGTTTAGAAATTCAGAAATCGGTTGTAAGAGATGCACAAGACCTCTCTTGGGTGCCACATGTCATCCTAGACTATGCCCGATCCCTCAACAGCTGTAAGAAAATCACTACAAGCAGTTCAGACAGGAGACAAATATAAGGATGTAATTTTATTACTCAAGAACTGAATTACAAAGTACATGAAGCTTTGAATAATCAATTTATGAGTGAAGTGCCTCAAATAAAAGGAGCATCTAAGCATAGTATCTCTTCAAATATCGCCCGTTGATAGGGGGCATGGGGTGAGATCCGTCAGCATCAATAAGAAAGTAGGCTCCTCCCTCGTAGACCTTCTCGATCACGAACGGTCCTTCCCATGTGGGCTCAAATTTCCTGTGGCTTCGACGGTGAGATATAATAGGACGTCGTAACACCAACACCAGGTCTCCAACCATGAAGGTACAGGGCCTAACGAGCTTGTCATGGGCTCTAGCCATACGGGCCCGGTATAGTTCAAGGTTTTGTTGGGCTTGTAATCGCAGCCCCTCCAAGCTGTCCAGCTCTTCCAACCTAAGTCGGGTATTATCTTCGCTATTGACATTATTGCTAATAGCAATACGCAATGAAGGCAATTCAACTTCCAAAGGAAGGACTGCCTCAGACCCAAATGTCAATGCGTATGGAGTAGAACTAGTGGGAGTACGGTATGTTGTACGATATGCCCATAAAGCCTCCGAGAGCTTCTCGTGCCACTCTTTCTTGTTGGCATGGAGAATTTTCTTGATAAGGCCAACTAAGGTTTTATTAAAAGCTTCAACCAAGGCATTCAGTCTCGGGTAATAGATCGTTGAATATCGTCATTCGATGTGATGATGCCGAGCAAATCTATTAATTTTAGTATTTTTGAAAGCCAGCCCGTTATCAGAGATGATACGTCGTGGCACACCAAATCTATAAACGATATTATTCTTAAGGAAATGCAGCATATTATCAGCCCTTACTTCTCTTAGAGGGATAGCTTCCGCCCATTTAGAGAAAAAATCAGTAGCTGCAAGAATAAATCGATGTCCTCGAGAGGACGGTGGGTCAATAGGCCCCACAATATCGGTACCCGAGGCTTCAAAAGGCCATGATGCGACTGTCGGATGTAATATACTTGGGGGTTGATGAAGCACAGGGCTAAACACCTGACATTGATGGCACCGTTTGGCATGTTCAATGCAATCAAGTGTCATCATAGGCCAATAATAACCAAGGCGTTTGATCTTGATTTTCATTTTGGGACCCGACTGATGGGATCCACAGACGCCCTCATGGACCTCAGCCATTAATTTCTGGGCCTCATCATCCCCTACACATCGTAACCACATCTGCTCAAAGGAACGTCGATACAGAGTATCGTTAATAATTGTAAACGACAGTGCCCTCTTCTGAATCTGAGAAGCGAGGGAGCGATCGTCGGGGAGAATTCCCCTTGTCAAGTATGCGATGATGTCTTGACGCCAATCATCAGATACTCCAGCAGAAGTAGCCAAAACGACGCCACCTCTATCCGAGGGCACGTCACCTGAAGGGCTAGAAATCGTCGGCGATAAGATTCTTCTTTCTCGGATCACAACTGTCACCGGATTTCCGTCAGGACTTGATAGCTCTTTAACCAATTTAGCAAGAGCATCGGTGAGAGATCGAGGTATCCTAATAAGAGTGACCTCAGGAATGAGCTTCAACATTGTCATCGCCTTCTCATGATAGGCTAGAAGTTCAGGCTTCAGGACCCTATAGGTTCCTAAGATCTGGCTTATAATGAGCTGTGAATCACCATAAATCTTGATTCTTGTAATGCCCATTTGGATAGCCAACTCAAGTCCTAGAATTAAGCCTTCATATTCAGCGGCATTATTCGTACATGGTTCTGCTAAACTATAAGAGTAGCGGAGAATGCCACCCTCGGGCGATACGAAAATTAATCCGATCCCCGATTGCACCTTTGGGAGAGACCCTGGTGGCCCTTCTTTCAAGGAAGAGGCCCCATCAAAATACATCTCCCACTCTGGGGCATCGATGACCATCAAATGCTCATCAGGAAAATCATCATTTAGAGGTGAATCTGCCGGGATCGGGTGAGCCGCTAAAAATTCAGCTAACGCCTGTCCCTTAACAGCCCGTTGAGGGACATACGAAATGTCAAACTGGGATAATATCATGGCCCATCTAGCCAACCGTCCAGCTAAGGTAGGACGCGTCATGAGATACTGCAAAGGGTTTACCCTCGAGATCAAATCAACATGGTGTGAGAGCATGTAATGCCTCAACTTCTGGACCGAGAATACCAATGACAAACAGTGTTTTTCAATTGGTGGGTATCTCATCTCAGCGGGTATGAAACGCCGACTAAGATAATATAGGGCGTTCTCTTTCTCTTCCTCATTCATTTGAGCCAATAAAGCTCTTATCGACTCATCAAGAGTGGCAATATAGAGAATGAGGGGTCTACCTGGGACCGGCGCTGCTAACACTGGAGGATTCAACAAGTAGCATTTGATATCATCGAAAGCATGCTGACATGCCTCATCCCAGTGAAAGCGAACATCTTTCTTAGTCAACGCAGAAAAGGGTTGACATCGACCAGAAAGGTTCGAAACGAACCTCCTAATATAGGCGAGCTTCCCTTGTAGGGAACGCAACTGCGTCAAACTTTTAGGAGGTTCCATCTCAATGATGGATTTAATTTTAATAGGATCAATTTCAATGCCTCTGTGACGGACAATGAATCCTAAAACTTCCCAGAAGATACGCCAAAGGCGCATTTCAGTGGGTTCATCTTTAAGTCATATTTCCTTAGGCGTTCAAAGACGGTCCTCAGGTCTGAAAGATGATCATCTTCAGAAAGACTCTTAATCACTACAACGTCGATGTAACACTCGACCTGATGGTGTAGTAAGTCAGCAAAGATGTGTGTCATAGCGCGTTGATAGGTCGCCCCAACATTCTTTAATCCGAATGACATGACCTTATAGCAAAATATGCCGATCAGAGTACGAAATGCCGTATGTTGCTCCTTGTCTGGGTCCATCCGAATTTGATTATAACCGGAAAAACCATCCATGAATGAAAACATCGCATGAGAGGAAGCGACGTCTATCATGAGCTTGGGAATCGGCAGGGGAAAATCGTCTTTCGGGCAAGCCTTATTCAAGTCTCGAAAGTCGATGCAAACTCGTATTTGTCCGTTCTTCTTTCGAACGGGTACGATATTTGCAAGCCATGTAGGGTCAAGAACCTCTCTAATAAATCCGGCATCGATGAGCTTTTTGGTCTCTTCAATGACCTTCTGCTCTATCTCAGGGCGCATTCTCCTGGGTGTTTGTTTCACAGGAACAACACTCGGGTCGATAGCCAAATGGTGTATGGCCACATCTGGGGCTAGTCCGGGCATCTCGGCATAGCTCCAGGCAAGACAATCGCGAAACTCTTTTAGTATTTCTATAATCCTAACAGTCATAGAATCTGTTAAGAGTTTGCTAATATAAGTCAGACGAGGATCATCGGTCGCACCAAGGTTGACCTCAACCAACTCATCGATCGTCGAAGAGACGCCATCCTTGAGCTCGGGAGGGGCGTCTTTAACTTCAATCTCCTCACTAGCAGAGACGATGGTCTCAATATCTTCATATACAGAAATCATTTTGCATGAGGCTCTACGAAGTCTGACCTTATTAGGTTTCTTAACGTAGCCAAATCCAGATCTCTCTCCTGGGGGTTTATATTGCCACATGGCTTTACATAATTTGGATTGACGAATAGACCACCTCTCGGGCAACAAACCAACATCAAGCATTTTATAAATGAGAGGAGAGCCGTAATAAGAAAGAGGAATATCCTATACTTCTTCATTCCCATCGTTTAAAAGCATTACATCTGTGTTCAATACATGAGGAACAGTTTTATAAAACAAAATGCCTTTCTCTTTAGACTCAAGCTTAGGAGGTACATAAAAGGTCTTCAACTCTTCAACAGTAGAGGCATGTGTAATCGTCAGCTCCTTGTGATGACCTCGTGGCATGGGGTTGATGGTTAACACCTCATCTGACAAAGAGAGTCTAGTCAAACGAGGTACCATGCCCTTCGAGGGTAGCAAAAGTATTTCCCTTCCAACATCATCTCGGCTTGAACTGCTCACCGGTAGTGCCTCATCTGGATCAGACTCGGAATCTGATGCAGCTTCAATTTTTATCTTACCTACAGGCAGAATGGGGAGCTCAAACTCATGCTTCAAAGTCACAGGGGCACGACGCCTTTCCTCCTGCTCCTTTATCTCTTTACCTTTAACAATGAGAGAACTAGGAAAGGAAGGGGTCCGTGGACAACCTGACAAAATTGAGACTGGGATAGATGCTTTAGGTGGTACATAATATTCTGCATCGTCGTAGACTCCCACCTCGTTAATGGAGAATGGATGAGCGTCTCCAGGGATAGAAAACTCTTCCCCTTCACGCATGTACTTGATGCATTGGTGGAGGGTGGACGGTACCATCCCATACTCATGGATCCATGGGCGTCCCAGCAGGGCTCTGTAAGACGTGTTCCCATCAATCACATGGAACTTGGCTTCGCTCTTGAAGTCTCCAAATTGGAGAGGTAGAGTGATGGAGCCAAGAGTTTTCTGACCCTTTTTGTTAAAGCCATTAAGCATAATCTTATCAGAACATAATCTCCTTGTGCTCAATGACAACAACTCAAGAGTCCGAACACTGATAATATTCACAAAAGCGCCAGGATCTATTAAGATACGGTTTAACGGAGTTTCGTAGATTTCGGCTGTTACATACAGAGGACGGTTATGGTCTGTGGTGCCTAAAAGCAAGTCCTCCTCAGTGAAAGTAACGACAACCACATCCGGTGGCCTAACAGCCTCCTTCATCTTCTCCTCTGCATAATGTGCGTAGAAGATCTCGGGCTCGCGTAGAGCTTTAATCAAAGTCTCTCTCAGCTCGGGAGAAAGAAGAAGTGCATCATAGATACTCAAAGCGGCTGGCAACCTCTTAAGGTGTGCTAACACATTATAGTCTACAATTTTAGGAGGATTCTTAAAGCCTTCATTTGGGATTTCAGGATGGTCATCAACTTCTTGGGTGATGATTCCCTTTCCCTTATCCTTAGAATTAGGTAAAGATACTCTAGGAGGGAGAATTTTACCACTTCTAAGGTGAATTTCTTGAACTTTTTCACTAGAGAACCCAATGGGTTCAACTTCAGCAGCAAATTCAGCAGAAGGCTCATCAAAGAAACCCTCATGAACCAAGGCCTCACCTGCATTGGCAGCTGTATCGCTCAAATCATCATAAATGCGATATGTACCGCTCAAGGAGGGCAACAATGGGTATTGCTCATATCCCACATCATCATGATAAGAGTCACTAATGTTATAAAAATCAAGCATAAAAATATGAGACACAGAGACATAATCAGAACATTCTTCTTTTATAGTTTTGTCATCAGAAAATGTGCCAGAAGGAGCACTACAATCCACTCTTGTGTTACAAGCAAGAAGAGAAATATCAGAAAGAAAGCTAGGAGTTGGAATAGCTGTCACCATCTTCACAGAACCCTTCCCCTGGGGCTTCTCCAAATACTGATCTGGTATCTCTATTTCTCTTGCATTATACCGGGCCTCAAGCCAATCCTTGAAAGGATAACAGTCTTCCAGGACATGACCCAGATGTCTATGATATGGGCAATAGTCAGGCTCATTCTTCCTCTCCACCTCATGAGGTTTCTTTGGCGGTGGGAGCTGCATTCCCTGCTTAAGCAAGTTCCTGAGTATCTTCCTGAGACAATCCTTCCTAAAAGGATAGATTTTAGACTTCCTCTGTTCGAGAGACTGGGGTTTCCCTTTCTGAAGAGATGGGCGAGTTTGCTCGGCAGACATGACGGGCTTTTTCATCTTCCCATCAGATGTCGCAAGAGCTATGCTCTCTTCCTTTCTCCTAGGAAGACCCACAATAGGTCTTTTGCCTCTAGCCTTTTCAGTATCTTTAAAGATCAAGGCATCTGCGGTGTCCTGCAAATTAGCCACTTTTTTGATCAAATTCTCGAATGTCTTGATCGTATTCATCTTTAACAAGATGGACATAGAGCCTGTTATTTTGCCCATGAGGAATGCAACCGCATGCTGTTCTTGCAACTGTGGTTCACACTGCAAACTGGTTCACACTGACACTGCAAACTCAAGTTGCGCCAACGAATGGTGAATTCCATCAAGGACTCGGCAGGACCCTGTCGGGCCAACAACAAGTCATTCAAAGTTACTCTATGATGCGCCCCTGCAAAGCGTTTGACAAATGCATCTTCCAGTTCAGTGAAGGTCTTGAATGAGCCATTAGGTAAATCGACATACCATTCAAAAGCAAACTCTGCCAAACTGGTGACAAAGAGGTTGCAACAAAGTGCTCTAAATTGGGCTATATGTTGGCGAGGATTGCCAAAGCCGTCAAACCTTTTAAAACGAGGGGGAAAAAACCCCAGAGGGTACGAAATATAATCATATGCCTCGGGATAAGGTCTTCCCCTTTGCACAACAGTCTCACCCTGCTGAGCTGCCAATGCAGCCTTGATCTTAGCATCAACTAAGGACTGCAAGTGTGTATCAAAAGAGATATGCTCGTGCTGGGCAACATCAGAAGAAGCGACATGAACATGCCGAGAAGGTGCCAAAGGTGCTGAAGGAACAGTGGGGTGTGCCTCACCCGGAGTGGGGAGGGAAACACCATCAGACCCCGCCCTTTCATTCTGTAATGCCACTATTTGGGCAGCAAGAAGGGAGAGTTGGGCTTGCAAGTGAGCGATCATCTCATCTTTGCTCTGATCTTCTTGATCAACCGTGGGGCCGCCATGAGCTTCGATAGCCTCTTGTTGGTCATCCTCGACGGGATCAAGGGTACGAACCTCAATATTCGAGCTCTGGGCTCGAGTAGTCACAGTCATGACATGGTCAGTGGCCATATCAAAGTCATGGAGTTCCTCTCCAAGGAGGTCATCCTCATCGAGGAAACCCTCTGAAACATCTGAAAAATTCCTAGACGGGTCATTCGGGGTAAGAAGGCAATCTCTAGATAAATTGCCCTTAGGATCGATATCGGGCACCATTTTGGGATCAACTGATAATGGCTCCAGGATATGATCGACTGGAGGAACAATTTCCTCGGGGATTGACTCAACGGTCTCCAAAACTGGAGCTGGAGCCTCAGCAGGACAGGAGGTGGG